GGTATATAAATTAATCAGAATGTTGATTCATCCATTGCAAAGGGAAATGTTTGTTGCTTGGAAAAAAAGTAATTGTGCCTGCAGGATCAGCTCATTTCCACTTTGTGATCTGTACTTCAAGTTACTTGAAAAAGCCAAGTCATAATCAGAAATTTATTTAATCATTTTAAATTAAAGATTGCCAACAGATTTATTGACAATAGAAATGATGCCACAACTTAGATTTCATCCACATAACCATCCTTTTTCCTCCTTAGAGAACAAAATGTAACCATGGTGGACATGGACTCATAACAAAGGAAGCTAGTTGGGTGAATCGGCAATTAATATCATCAGGTTTAGTTAGATTTGTGTGCATCTATTTCATAATAGAGATAGTCCTGTTTATAGCATTGAAGTTGAAAGTCTAATGGCTCCCATTTTCTCAACACTAGATAGAGCTTGGAAGTCTACTGTCAATATTCCCTATGTGAGCTTTCCAATTGAGCACATTAGCATTTTCAAAGAAGATATCAATTATATCACAGTCCAGTCTTATAATATAAGCTGGCAGCCATTAGGTATCTTTAAGGTAACTTTGTCTAACATAGCTCTGATAATTACATATAGAATTAGAAGAATCGATGATCAGGGCACAATCTTATTTCCCTCATCTCTGGAGAAAGTCTCAAGTTCTCTATGAAAACAATGTAAATTTAGACATGTTAATAATCTTCTCTGGGTATCAGTTTTTCTGTCTTCAAATGGATTGTGTGACCACAGAATTTCTTCCAGTTCTAAGGCTGAGGCAAACCAAGGTTGGTGCCACAGTTGAGTTCATCTGGGAGAGGAATTTATCCACAGTAGACTGGAGTACTGTGGCTCGGATAGGATATAATATAGGCAAAAATTGTTGGAAACCAGGGTTGTGGCCAGGAGAAGGGTTCCGCAACCCTTGTTTCCAACCCTGAGTATCGTGTATGAGTAATTTTTTTAAAAAAGTTCAAGCCAGAAACTGGAGAGTGATGAAATGCCTGAAGATGACTATTTAAAACTAAGACAGTATATGGTAGGGATAAATCAGATTATTATTATTATTATTTTGCAATCAGTATTTCTCAACCAGATCAGACCTGATGCCTGTTTTTCTGTAACATATATTTGGTTTTATGTTTTAATAAAATAATTAGGTGTTTGAACTTATGTAGAATCACTGTGTATGTTCAATAGCTATAAATGCAGACTCAGTAATACAAGTGGGCTAATTGGTAGATTTAATACTACAATCTGATCGGGGATGTGACTTTCTAAAATTGTGAACAATTACCTGCATCATTTCTAAAAAAAAATCAAAGTATGCTCTTCCTTTGACTTACATGATGGTAACATTCTGGAAAAAAGTCAGTGCATGTTAAAATCATTCTACATATATAAGTCTTAAGTGAAGTTCTGTTTCAGACTGGGTTAATTAAACATTGGCTTTACTTACTTGAAGTTGTTTCAGGAAATTCAACTGTGAAACTTCCTAATTGTGCAAAATCTTCTAGAACACTTGGCCACCATCACTGTGACAACAAATAATACTTCCCAAGATTTTCATAATGTGTCCAAAAAGACAGCATCACCATTTATTCCTTACCCTATGCCCCCAGTGGGTACCGTTCAAGTCTATGTAGCAGGGGAATGTGGATGCTGAAAGGAGCATTGCTTGTCTGCATACCCCTGAGCTGAAATTTTATGCATTTTGTTATTGTTGAGGACAACTTCTCTCTACCAATTTCAACCTCCAGTTATTTCTACTGCTGTCTAAATTTGTTGGAAAGAAAGCAAGCAGTTTGTTCCCAAGATCACACAAAGGCTTCATTTGAATAAGGCAGATGAAAAATTCCTATTTCCTCCACTATGCTTCACCTACCCTCCAAGGCCACATCGAGCCACATAGGAGATTGCTCCCACTGGCTACTTCAAGCTTCCAGCTTACTCACCTCTTAAACCGTAAGCTCTGGTCTCCAGTTTCCTTATGCTAACAGTCTGAGTTCTCCTACAAATATGAATTTCAATTCAAAAAATTCAAAAAGGGAATTGTGGGTGGCAGAAAGTAACAAAAAGCTTTTATTTTACTGTATTTGCCTGTTTCTTTGGGGGTCTGGCATGTAAGCTTGTATTTGCTTTCATGGTTGTCCCAGCTTTCGCAACATAATGTGTGGGAAGAGGTGAGCATGGCTACATGTGTGCATCTTTGTACATGTTTGCCATGCCATATATTTATATACTTAAAGAATAGTTTACTCATGTCAAAGAGTTCATCAATATGGGGCATATTTGTGTACATTTGCCAATTTTATCCAATAACTCAATATGGAAATTTAAAAGAGAATAAAGAAAGATGATTAAAGGTGTCATCAAATCACCAGGCCCTCTATCCCTTCTAAAATAATTAGTTTTGTAGCCTTCTTATATAACCTGTACCAGGTACTATGATATTTTGAGACAGTATACACAAGGCAGCCCACTGGGCCCAGCATTATCTATTTCAAAATAATAGCACTAGATAAAAAGCAAATGTTTAAAATACTAACTAATAATCTAAAGATAAGGTGTTATTTTGGAGTTTCTTTGGGTTTTAAGCAGAAACCAGGTGTTACAAGAAAGTGATAATTCTAATATTTGATATATCGTGGCATCTGTCTGCAAGAATTGGACCCAAAGAGAGTGATAAAACTTGGTAATACAGGGTTCACTAATGGAAGTCATCTTTTAGTACTGTCAGACAGTGAATAGAATTTTCTATCAGGATAAACAGTTCTTAGCAACTTGAGAAGCACTAGATCTTTTCAGCTTTAAGGACTGGCATGTGATATTTGTGACAACGGAGAACCCTGCCTTTCAAGCTCCTGCCTCAGCCTCCCTAGTAGCTAGGATTACAGGAACCCACCACCATGCCCAGCTAACTTTTTGTATTTTTAGTAGAGATGGGGTTTTACTACGTTGGCCAGGCTGATCTCAAACTCCTGACCTAGTGATCTGCCCGCCTTGGCCTCCCAAAGTGCTGAGATTACAGGTCTGAGCCACAGTGCCCTGCCTGAGCTTATACAGATAAGAGAAGTATTGCCAAAGAGCTGAGTGCCCTGGCATCTCCTACCAGTCCCTGGTCATTATTTTCTGGGACCACGACTGTAAATCATCATTTTCTTCTATCCCTCTATGTCCATCACCTAGAGAACGCTCTGTGTGCAGTAGATACATAATTCATACTTCTCACTGACTTGCTGGCCATTCCCACCTAAAGAGAAATGAATAATTCTGATAAAACCACACAATTATAGCTGAAAAACTCTCTGAACTTAGAGTGGTAAATGCCTATTTTGAGTGCACTTGCTAAAAATAAGACAAATTAAGCTGGACAGATTCAGAAAATCTGCCATTTCTTATAGCTTTATTGAAACCTTTTCAGAAGCTTTTCCGTTACACAAATAGAACCTGTTTCCAAAAATAGGTATTCATTCAAGAACATGAAAACCCACCCACAAATTTAACTGTCATTTATTCTGACAAATAAAATTCCTGGTTCTTGAGTGATTTTTCTTTCACTCTCTCTCCTTAATTATAGAATAACATTCTTGAAACTAGAACCCTTTGATTCTTAAAATAAGAAGAAATATTATCCTAGAAAGATGCCCGGCTTATTTCAGTCCTATATAATCATTCCCATTTCTCAAAGATTCATTTTACATTGTCGTCACTGTTTATACAACAAAACATTCTTTCATGAACTTTCAAATAAATAAATAAATGGTAAGACTTCACACTCAGAGAGTCAACCTGCCAAGTCCTCAAATAGTTAAGTTGAACAGTTTACTTACAAAGGCTGACAAATTTGCTTCACTTCAAAATATCATTAACACCAATAACACATTTGCCCAAGCCTATTGCTAAGTTGTAAAAAAAGATTGCTACAGATTAAGACCCTTGATATAATGCTATAAGCTCCTAACAATGGTATCTTTTATAGTGAAGAGCAACTGCAGACACAAATTGCCCTCTTTCCTGCATCTTTTTCACAAAAATCAATATTAAAGTAGTATCTGCCTTAACTCTCCCATACAGTATATGAGAAAAAAACCACAGCCGTGCTTAGGACAGTTTAGGTCAATAAAGAATCAATACTGTGGTTGAATCTGTAGAAGATAAAAGACTTAGAACTCTCTACAGAGGGGCCCATTGTTTTCTCTCTATTCGTAAAGCAGTAGAAGAATGTCACTTGTCTCTGCATGGCGGGTGTGAAGGTTTAGGGCAGTTTTTTCTTCTCTTATTAAGGTCGATGTGCATTAAGTGTTGGTGAGAAGTAAAGGGGCATCATACAGAAGTGGGGGTGGGAGAGGATTGCAGACACTATTGCTTCTCTTAGATGTTTTGACTCTTTTCTGAACAGTCCCTTCACAGAAGTAGGGGATGAGTAGAGTGGAGCTTTTTTGTTTTTTGTTTTGAGACAGAGTCTCATTCTGTCTGTCATCATGCTGGAGTTGCAGTGGCATGATCTCGGCTCACTACAACCTCTGGCTCCCTGGCTCAGGCAATTTTCCTGCCTCAGCCTCCCAAGTAGCTGGGACTACAGGCGTATGCCACCATGCCCAGCTAACTTTTATATGTTTTTAGTAGCGACGGGGTTTCACCATGTTGGCCAGGATGGTCTTAATCTCCTGATCTCATAATTCAACCACCTTGGCCTTCCAAAGTGCTTGGACTACAGGCATGAGCCACCATGCCCAGCCAGAGAGGAGCATTTTACAGGGATCCAGGCTTGGTAAATATGAGGTCAGGTGATGCTAAGAGGCAGATGGTCTAGATTAAAATCTGAACTATGGTGTATAGTCTTGGGAAAGTTACCTTACTTTTTTAAACTTCAGTTTTCTCACTTACAATAAAATAAAACATATAAATACCAGCTAAATTACAGAATTTATAATAGAACTTTAGTGGGCTCACCAATGTCCCAGCACATGGGTCTCCGAACTACTCACCTCTCTTATGGTGAGACAAGGCCATATGACTGGTTGTGGTCAATGAACTGTGAGAAGTGACACATTTCACTTCCAGGTTGAGACAGGTCTCTTTCCCTGACATGGCAAACTTGGAGAAAGCCTCCTGTTGAGAGAGCCATGAGTTCAAAGTCACCTGTGTCTCTGAGTAATCACACAGAGAACAGATGTCTTAGAGAGTCACCCAGAACTATCTGTTTGTAATAGGCAAGTAAATATCTATTGTGTTATGCTGTTGATTTGGGGATCATTGTCTATTGTTTTTACCATAAGACCTAGCATATCCTATTTATTAGTTAACAGGAAAAATTTAGAAATGTATTCTTATAATGCTGGGCACATTTAATGACAGCACTCAATTAATGTTTTAATTTTAAAGATCTGAATCTCAAGCCAAGGGAGCAATTTGAACAAAATGATGGAATGAAATAATACAGTGTATTCAGTAATTCTGTAAGTATAGGAATTCTTAGGAAAAACTCATAACATACATTAGAAATGGGAATCATCTTTTAAAATATCCAAGTTAGTATTCCAAAAAGGATGTTGTATAGAACGTTAGTTCTGTAAAGTGCAGAAAGAGTGTTCTTTGGCTTAAGAAATTCAGAAAATGCTGCTTACTTAATCTCTTACTTGGATGTTCTTAAGGTACATTAAATTACTAAAAACTCCGAGAAATACTGCAACAGGGAAATCTAATTTTTTTGTGTGTATTCCAGGACTTTAAGCTTATTTGACCATAGAATGCTCTTTCCATGTAACACCAATTATCTTTTAACAGAACACATTGTTATTGCCCTCAGAACACTTATTAGATTGTTAGCAAATTGTTTAGCTACACTTAGCAGTAATATTAAATTATGCATTAGGTTCAGCTTATGGTATTAGTCCATTCTCATACCGCTAATAAAGAACTGCCCACGATTGGTTAATCTGTTAAGGAAAGAAGTTTAATTGGCTCACAGTTCAGCATACTGGGCAGGCCTCAGGAAACCTACAATCATGGCAGAAAGGGAAGCAAACATGTTCTTCATACGGCGGCAGCTAGGAGAAGTGCAGAGCGATGGTGGGTGTGGGCAAATCCCCTTATAAAACCATCAGCTGTCATGAGAACTCACTCACTATCATGAAAACAACATGGAGGCAACCACCCTCATGATTCAATTACCTCCCACTGGGCCCTCCCATGACATGTGGGGATCATAGGAGCTACATTTCAAGATGAGATTTGGCTGGGGTTACAGATCCTAACCATCTCATTCTGCCCCTGCCCCCACCCCCAAATCTTATGTCCCCAAATTTCAAAACACAATCATACCTCGCAACAGTCTCCCAAAGTATTTTTTTTTTTTTTTTTTTTTTGAGACGGAGTTTCACTCTTGTTACCCAGGCTGGAGTGCAATGGCGCGATCTCAGCTCACCGCAACCTCCGTCTCCTGGGTTCAGACAGTTCTCCTGCCTCAGCCTCCTGAGTAGCTGGGATTACAGGCACGTGCCACCATGCCTAGCTAATTTTTTGTATTTTTAGTAGAGAGCGGGTTTCACCATGTTGATGAGGATGGTCTCGATCTCCCGACCTCGTGATCCACCTGCCTCGGCCTCCCAAGTGCTGGGATTACAGGCTTGAGCCACCGCGCCCAGCCCCAAAGTCTTAAATCATCCCAGCATTAATTAAAAAGTCTAAGTCCAAAGTCTCATCTGAGACAAGGTAAGTCCCTTCTGCCTATGAGCCTGTAAAATCAAAAGCAAGTTAGTTACCTCATAGATACACTGGAGGTACAGGTATTGGGTAAATAAACCCAATTATTTAGTAAAACAAATAATAGCCACATCTATAGCCTTACTATGTGGGGTATTGTCTTTCGCTAAATAATTACTTAACCGTAACAACACCCTCTCTTTTATAATAAGAGACCTGAAAGTTGAAGATATCCAAGGTTAATGTAATGACCCAAAGCTTTATGTTTCTGCAGTCCTATACCTTTTTCCTTATGTTAAATTGTGAGACGGCTAGCTGGGATGATTCCAGCCACCAGGAAGAAGAAAGACATGCATAATGAATATGTCTCTGCAGCGCTTGCCTCCCTTTTCCTTAAAACCCATCTGAAGGTATCTATTTATAATTCTCTGTCAGAATTTGGTCATGTGGTCACCAAATTCCGGGTCATGACCCGGAAATGCGTGTTCTAGCTTTCTGTGTGCTTAGGTGCCCGAGCTACTGAGGGTCTAAGTCCGGGCAGCCGAGGAGTGTGGTAGGTAACGGTCGTCAGCGCAAGGGTCATTTCGTGGCTGGGAACGACGGCCCTCGCCCGCGGTGATGGTGGTTAGCAAGATGAACAAAGATGCGCAGATGAGAGCAGCGATTAACCAAAAGTTGATAGAAACTGGAGAAAGAGAACGTCTCAAAGAGTTGCTGAGAGCTAAATTAATTGAATGTGGCTGGAAGGATCAGTTGAAGGCACACTGTAAAGAGGTAATTAAAGAAAAAGAACTAGAACACGTTACTGTTGATGACTTGGTGGCTGAAATCACTCTAAAAGGCAGAGCCCTGGTACCTGACAGTGTAAAGAAGGAGCTCCTACAAAGAATAAGAACATTCCTTGCTCAGTATGCCAGCCTTTAGGATTGAATTAGATTTTGTTGTTCTGTGGTTTTATTTCTGAAAGTAAAACTTGCCATAAATTAGAAAACAGTTTCCCAAAATAAAATCCTTTTTTGTATGATGGTATATAATTGCCAAGTTATCTGAGAAACGTAGACTTGTATTTTTGTTATTTTATTTCACCTGAGTACATGGTCACCCCTAATCAAATGGGTGATCCAAGGAAGGAAAATAGAATGAGTATTGGGTAGGTAACAAGTAGTTTCTGCCGCATCCTTGGCACATAATCAGTTTATTATTTCCGCTTTTTTGTAGTGTCAATACAATGTCTCTCACTTACACATGTATGAGTAGAAATGCAGACATGATGCAAATTCAGAAACAAAATGTTGAGTACAATTAAAATTTTTTAAGAAGAGAATAATTATCCAACTGAGTCTAAGAAAATTCAAACTGTTTCTCATTGTGTTCAGACCTATCCCACATGGGAGGTCAAAATCTGTGAGCTGTAGAATGATGTAACTCTAGGGGTGATGTTCCATCTGGAATCTTAGTTTTCTCTGCTTTAAAGAGAGGATAGGAGTCCTTCCCTCTTTGAGTGTGGAGTTAGGACATTCAATCAATTAACCCATGTAAAACCTCTAACTGAGCATAATCTTGCAAGTGTTTAAGAAGGTTAGCTATCTTAGCTCTTCCAAACACTGAAAGAGTGACTGGCCCATCTCATCATAGAATTCAGTTCAAAGACATAATGTAGCTCCCACCTCTGCCACCCCCATCAGCCCCAATTCAGAAAAGAGCATCCACTATTTCTATAAAAACAAACAAAAACTGTACTAAACCCAGGTACATGATCTTGCTGATGTACTGATCCAGAGCAGCCAGTATAGATATTAGGGTGAGACTTAGGAGTCAGATGCGAGTTCTTTTCTCTTTGCTGGTAAGTGGAGGGGACCCCCAGTGCACCTCTGTCCCCACAGGATACCCATGACCTTTGTCTGAATCATCAGACTCTGATCTATGGAATTTCTGATGAGACCATGTTTCCTTTTTGCTTTCTGCCCTAGAGGTGAATTTCCTGAGCAATATGTACATCCCAAGTATGTGGCATGCTTTTACTCTTTGACGTGGAAACCTTAAGACAGATCTTCTTCAGATGTTTATACATTTCTTCCACCAAAGTTAAGAGTAGCAAAAATGTTCCTCAGAACTGCTCTCACTCTGCAAACTACAAGCACTAAGGAATGTCCTTCTTCAGTATGTTATTGTTTCAGCATGACTAATCAGAGAAAATTGCAACATATTGCCTAGTCAGCTAATTAGACAGAATTATTGATTAATTTTCAACCAATAGTCCCTGCTCTCATCCCTGCTTGTCTCACCTCTCCTCACTCTTACCTTCTCCGATTTCTGGAGAAGTTGAGCTAATAGACACCAAGGAGAAGAGAACGGGTGCCATATATTCTGCATATCATTTTGTTGTCTTGTGGGAACTCAACACTCAGCCAGGAGCTATTATCTCACCTTCCCCACTGCCACTGTCACTTCCCTGGGCACCTGGGTTCAGGGCTGCAGTTCTGTTCCTGATGCTGGAACCAGACTGAGGTGAACCCTCTCAATATCACAGTGAGCTTGTTTATATGCACAGCATCCACATCATCCAAACCAGGAAGCGTTTGTCTGGGGCAAATGTCAAGCAGGCAGGAAATTGGGACAAAGTGTAAAGGAGGACTGTCCTGGGAAAAGCAAGAATTAAGGTTACCCTAGCTGTGCACCACCGTGGGTTAGAGGCTCACCACAAATGGGTTCAGTACACAGGCTTTGGGTTCAGACACACTTGGGTTTGTGTCTGGGTTTTGCTGCTTTCTCAACAGATGGCCTTTGGCAACCTGCGTTCTTTTCTTTTCCAATTTCTGGTTTTCTCATCTCAAAAATGGGGATGACATTATTAAACTCATTGGGCTTTTGTGAACCTTAAACTAGGCAGTATAAATAAAGGGCTTAACATGGTGACAGGAAACAATAGCCATCGGCCGTATTTCTCCTTTGTGGGGACTGCTAAGCTGACACATTGAGTTTGGGCTCCAAATGGGAAATGAAAAAATTGAAAGAAGAAAATGATATTCAGGTTTATGTATTCCAGTCTTACTTCTGAAGAAACCCTCATCTTGAGAACAAAAGAGAGAGAAAATAAACAATGCATGCACAATATCAGATTAAATATGTTCCCACCCAGTGAAGAGGAGGTTGTATTTGGGGGTGGGGGGCAGCTGCCTCTCCTTTTCCTGAAGTCCCATTCTGATCTTTAGGGGGCTGCTCCTCCTTTCAGATTCCAAGTCATCATCAGTCCGGCTCGTTCTCTGGCTTGCTGCTCTGCAAATTAATTGCCCTGACAGCTGCCCCAACGCAGTACTTGCACCAACTCCGTCAACTGCTCTGGGACAGGCTAAACATCACAGTCTATTTAGATTTTGCCTTCATCTCCAACTGATTCTGTCCCAAACTCAATTTCCTCTTTCCTCTTTTTCAATTAACTACAGTTGCCCAGAGCTGGGGTGATAGGAGGAGATACTAGGGGCATACATCTGTCATCATTTATCTGGTAGTGTATGGGGTATGCTGGAATTCAGATCCCTAATATAGCCTGTTGGACTCAAATAATTCTAGACATATTTGATTTTTGTAAAAGACAGAAACAACACACAATGAGCCTTTACATCGACCACCCAGGGGGGCACTTAGAGAGAATTTCCAATCTATTCATGATCTGTTATTCCCAGCCCCAAAAGTTTCCATGTTATAGCAGAATACCCAGGGACTCCATATGTTATGGGAACACAGCAGAACCAAAATGAGCTGAGAGAAGAATGCATTAGATTCAAACATGGGATGAAACAGTACCCAAGGAGGCCCTGTTTCATTGTCTCTACCTGGGACCCTGGGACAATGCAGCCATCTCAGCCCCATTCAAGTGTGACATTTCTTTTGAATATGACAGTGGCGGCGACCTTGTCATTAACTGATGCTATGAGCAACATTTCAGCTTTCATAATTCAGTTAATTTTCAAGCCACTGGTTACTGAACCCCCAGTATAATTTTCATATAATTAAACTACACACACACACACGCACACACATATGCATACACACACACATTCTCAACCACATAAAACATCCACAAAAGTGTCAAACAGCAGAGAAAAACAAAACTGAAAATCCAGAAAACCAGAAGCAAGATTCAAATCTATCTTCTTCGTTTCCTTTCATCATAGGTGTATGCATGTAGAAGGGAAATGAGCAAAAGTCAGTTGGCCTTGGAGAGGTTGGGGAGGGGAAGCAGTTCATTTTTCTCTTCCCATTAGCATTAATATGCAAAGGCAAAGTGCAGCTGGGCATTTTCTCTTTACTAATTACATATTACACCTACATGAAAAAAATTGGTAAAGGAACTACACATTTTTAATTTAGATATTAGTTCCACAATTTTATGGAAAACTCTTACAAAGGGCATACAGGTTATGTATTCATTATAGCAAGAATTTTGCTGAGAGTTTAAAACTTCAACAAAAAAATTTAAGTATTTGGGTAATTAAAATCCATATAATAATTTTCAGGTACACAACTGACTGTTTCATTTGTAGTAGCAGAGGTTTGAATTAATACTAAAAATATCAGTTTATCAGAAAATGTATGTAGTTGTTTTTATATATAGATCATGTAAAATCTGCCAAATATTTGTCTTCATATTGTACTCTCTTGGCTTTGTAATAATATTTGCATGAAGAACAATCCAAACTTTGGAAAATGTATTTCTTTCCTAGCAGATATCATCTTTTCTCTATGTTATCTTATATTTCTCAATGTGACTTGTCACATTGATATGTGGCCTTCTCTTTCTTGACCTTGTTGAAGTAGCATCACAATTTTGGGATATTGTATCCACTGCTAAGACAGATTCAAATTAATATTAGCCTTATGCTGATACTATGTTTCTTGGGAAAAAGACACATAAAATTTAGGGATTTCAGAGGATAAAAATATTAACCAGATTGTAAATCTCTTGAAATCAGTTTTATTTCTCTGCTCCTTTTTCTCCTCCTTCGCTCTCTTTTTTTAATTCTTCACTCTCTCCCTGTTTTAATCTCATGCCTCCATAACCTTATTTGTCCTTTATAATTCTCTAGTAACACTCAAGGGGCAGAGAACAAAAGTAAAATAGTAAATATTCAAAGAAATGTTATTCTAAGACCTCGTGGTCTCACCTCTCTAATATGAAAATAATTTCAACAGAATCTGGCCAGGATTTTCCTAATGAGTCTGCTAAAATTCCCCCACTTACCAAGAGCTCTTTTTAGCGGTGGCTAAAAACCACCACTAGTGGTAGCAATCACATAGGCCTTAGTTTCACACTCTGCTTATATTTGTGGCAGTCAAACACATAATATGGCAGGAGCGAATAGGTAGCCCAAACTTGAGGGAGTCTAAAACAGTATGAGGAGGGAAAATTATTTAATGCAAAATGATTTGCAGACTGACTTGATAACATTATTTATCTTTGTAAAATTTCAGGCAACTATTTTTCTTTTTTCCAAAAATGTTTAAAGTATTTTCTCACTTTTAAAACAGTATGAAAAAATGGGTATTTTCTTCCTCCACTTTTACCTTTTTTATTTTATTTTTTAACTTAAAGAACACATTGTATACCTACTAGATTTGGGGATACTGAGACTAAAACTGGGAAAGGTGACAATTTCTTAGAAGAAACAGCTGAAGGAATCAGTAGATACAGGTCCCAAGCCCATCCACCTCTCAGTCTCTCCTTTTTACTCTTGCTACTGTTGCTATACATTGCTTTGCAATGACTCGAAGCATCAGAACAACCACCCTGGGAAACTAGAACAAAGGACCGAACAAAAGAAAGCCTCCCATCTCACAGACACTGTGGGATCTGATTGTTTCCTGTAGTCCAGGTTGCTCCGTAGTGTGCATTGTCATACCAGTTCTCTTGAGAGGTGAGCCCACCCTCTAATGGATCTCTATGTCAGGATGACTTGTGTGATACCCATCTTACATCCGCATCTCCTGATTTCTCCACATTACTCCTCGTTAGGCCTGCTTCTAGGTAAGATAAGTCTCTCCTCTCCTTGCATTCCCACCCCTTCCTGATTTTAGTAGATGACTATCAGATGCCCCCCCAATCTCTGCTTTGCCAAGCTCTGCACACTTAGTTATTTTAATCTTTCCTCATAAATCAGTCTCTCCAGCTCCTTAATTATTCCTGACAGATGATTTGCCCAATAGTTTACCATCAAAATGTGAGATTATTGTCTTGAAAATATATCAGTATGAATTATTTTTTAAAAATCATTATTAGGATTGAGTCCTTGGAGACAGAAAGGAAGTGAGAGACGCCCCAGTATATTCTTAACAAGAGCTAGGGCAAGAATTCCAGAGCCTTCTTAAATGAAAATTGACAAATGATTTCCTTGTTACCAAGAGCTTGGAGCCAAAACATAGGAAAATATCTTTCCTACTTCATGGAAAGTAAGCACTATTTCTAGAAGAGTTTGTTCAACCATTGAATATTTTATGTAGTAGTTCGGTCAAGAAACTTTTCTTAAAAAGTTTTACTACAACTCTGTCAAAGAATGAACAAGTTCCGGTAATAAAAGCCAGCTTTTATTACCAGAACAATTCCAGGGAGAGAAAAGGAACAGCGGTGTTTGCCTCACCTTCGTGTTTTGGCAGAGTACTTATGAAGGAGGTGGAGGCAAGCGGGAAAAGAACACTGTGTTTTCTGTTCAGCGTTGCATATACACTTCCCAACACAGCTTAAGAATTTTCAAAAGCTTTCTGATCTTTTTACAGCCTGACATCATATTCCCCTACAGTGACATCATAGCTTTTAAAGATAGGAATCCAATGGCACTAATACCTTCAAATGTTCCCAACCCATCAAAATTTGGCATTTGGTACTTTATTTAACAACCTTAAGTTTCCAGAGTTTTCTCTGGGTTTTGAAGACTACAACCCTCCAACCAGATAAGTTTCTATGTGTTTACAAACTGTGAGGCCGACCTTATGAATAGCACCTTATAAAAGAGGTCTGGCTGGTGGGGTGCTTTGACTGGAGAGAGGTTAGAGAGAGTTAGAAAAGAGACAAAACAGTCTGGGCTCAAGAAGTAATGCTTTCTTTTTTTCTTTTTTGACAAGGTTCTGCAATTTGCACCTCCTTTCCCATTCCCTTCAGGTCTGCTCTGACCAATAATTTTCATCACAAGACCAAGAAAGAAAAAAATTCCATTTTTCTTCATGATACAGCAGGAGTTCCTTCTAGCTACTGGGCTAGCTCCTCTTTATTTCTAAAGTATGAACAAGGCAAATGGAGATTCTTCGTTTTAGGATTTCAAGTAGGCAGAGTAGAAACTGCCAACTAAAACCTTTCTTCACAAGGGATGCTAGATGTTGGGATTGGAAAGCTGAGATCGTTCTTACTCACAGGCCTGCTACAGTAGCCTCTCAAACTGCCTGTAGTAAACAACCCATTTATCATTTCTGTTTTTGAATCACTATGTGTCTTACTGAGCATGACCCAAATGCAGTTTTACCAAGGTTGACATCTGAACGGCTCTATTCCCTATTCACGGGGAGAAAGGCATGGCTCATACACTTGAATGTTGTGGCAATGCCATTGCTATAAATTTCTATCAATTTACTTTTAACTTCTGAACTTACCATTTCTTGGGACAGCTCTAAGTAGTTTCAAACTGGCACCGGGCTGCTGTGCGCTGAGTAACACTGTACTAGAACAGGAGCTGGCAAACTATGCAGTAGGCAGAATCCCATCGGACACCTGTTTTAGTAAATAAAATTTGATAGGGACACTTATGAATTGTCCTTGACTGCTTCCATGCTACCACAGCAGAGTTGAGTAGTTGGCCTACAAGCCTGAAATATTTATCATCTGGTCCTTTAAGAAGTAGTTTGTGAACCTCTGTTGAACTAGAGACTTCTAAGTAACAAAAAAAGTGAAATAACTTTCAGCAAAGTTTACTCCACTCACCCTCACACTACTTCCTCCTCTTCCAAGGAGAGATGAGCTCTGATATTTCCCACCGGCTACTTGAACTGGACTGGACTATTATTTCCAGAAACAAAGATGGCAAGGCATTTGCTTTGAAATTGCTGTGCAGACAGCACACGGGCCTAAGAAGGATTTACACATCAATTATCAAAAAGAAAAGCCTTTCTGGACTGTCTCTGTGTGTGCATATGTTTGTTGGCATGTGCGTGCGTGTGTATGCTACCCCGTATATACTCACTTGTGTGCGTGTGTACAAAACCATTCCAAAGCTGAACCAAATCATGAAAAGCTTGCTGTGACAATAACCAGCCAGAGCTCACTGACCATGTTCATCAAGAAGCCCTTTTGTTAAAGAAAGCAACTCAGGAAGAAGGCAGGAAGGGGAGGGGAAGAGGTGAGCTCTGCACTTAAAAGGCCTATAGCACTTCAATCAGAAACAGCTGTGGCCAGTTTAATGCTATCGAAGGGCTCATATGGATGTGACATCACACAGAACTAAAGCTTGGCCAAGGAGTTTTACTGGCCATATATCTTAGACTCTAAGGATTTGGTTACAAATTTGTATGTGGTGTATGTTTTTTGAATGAATCCACAATGGAAACCAACACCATATCACATGCCCTTCTAGTAACTCAGAGGGCTGTAAACAGGGTGGATTTGTTTAAGCTTAGAATTAAAATCCTTATTAATTTTAAGCTAAAGGGAAGTAAATGAATTTGCTATCATCCCAGTATATTACACGTCTAACTAGAAAGATTTTCACAATCAGACCAGTATCCTGGCCAATTAGGAGGAACTGGGAGACTCTTTATATTCTAATTTCAAACTGCTGGTATCCCAGGTGTACTGTATAGGATTTCCTGTAATTTACCAGCAAAATAAGCGGCTAAGGAATATGTTTGCCAAACTGTACATTTGTATTAATTACCCAGCAGGATAAAGTGATTTCTTTGTGATAGAAAGAGATGTGGATCTACAGGAAAATCATTAAACCAAACCAGGGAAACAGACACATTTCTATTGTTAAGCAGTTTGGCTTGATTCATGATTGGTGCCTGGGAATATGTTAACGGTAGCAATTGTCTCTTACTCACTCAGTTTTCTCCAAAACAGGAGAATGGACTCTCCAGTTGAAACTAGCAAACAAAGCTGAAAGTGCCATGCTGGCCACTCTGAGGGTCACCAGTGAATATGAGGCACAGTGCCTTCCTTCAAGTAGTAGAATTTTGTTAAAATTTCAGAGGTGGAGAGAACACAGCAAGCTTAAGTGGTAACAAAAGGCCTTATGGGTAGGGCAGAATTTGGACAGGATCTCATAGAAGGAATATAATTTGGACACGACCAGAGGATGGAAATTCTAAACAGTGAGGTGCAATGGAACGAGGAGGGACACAAGATGAGGAGCCAGGAATTTGTAACAGGGGTTCAGATGATAACACATGTTCAATGGGACTCAATGTGAGTTCATTTTAATAACACCAAAAAGAACAGAGCAGGAGGGGACCAAGAAATCAATGGCTGTTGTGCATATACTATATACCAGGTGCTTTATGAGCTAACTTAATCAGAACTTTTAAAGGTAGGTATTATCATCATTTCCATTTAACGATGAGAAAGCTGATGTTCACAGAGGTAAATAACTTGCTCAAGGCCATGAGGCAAGTCAGTGAAAGACACAGGCATTCATAACCACAGTTATCGAGACAAAACAAGAGTTTGGGAGGATGTAGAGAACAGGGAATCCTTGTGCATTTTTGGTAAGAATGCAAATTGAGGCAGCCAGTGTGGAAAATGGCATGGAGATGTCTCAAAAAGTTAAACATATCTCAAACAACCATATGATCCAGCAATCCCACTTCTGAGTGTTTACCCAGAGGAAATGAAACCCATATATTGAAGCGATGTCTGCAGTCTCATGTTCATTGCAGCATTATTCACAATAGTGAAGACGTGGAATCAGCCAAAACATCTATTGATAGATAAATGGATAAAGAAAGTGTGGTATATATATGCGATGGAATATCATTCAGCCTAAAAAGAGAAGAAAATCCTGCCATTTGTGACACTATGATGAATTTGGAGGACATTAAGTGACATGAAGTAAGCCAGACACAGAATGACAAATACTACGTGATGCCGCTTATTTGAGGAATCTAAAACAGTCAAACACATAGAAGCAGAAAGTAGAATGGTGGCTGTCAGGTGGTAGCGGGAGGCAGGTATTAGTCAAAGGGTACAAAGTTTCAGCTATGCAAGATAAGTAAGTCCCAGAGATCTACTATACAGCATAGTGCCTATAGTGAGCAATATCGTACCATATAATTAAAAATTTGCTAAGAGGGTAAATCTTTTTTTAAGTGCTCTTATCACATCCACACACACTCACACACACAACTAATAATAATAAAAAGGATAGGAAGAAACTTTTGGAGATGATAAATATGTTTATGGCATAGATTGTGGCGATGGTTTCACAGATGCATACTCACCTCCAAACTTATCAAATTGTATATATTAACTATGTACAAGTTTTTCTGTGTTGCTTATACCTCAATCAAGTATTTTAAAAAACGCATGTTTGCTCCAATGTGTATTTTTATCCTCTTAAAGGTTGACAACCCTATCTGCCCATCAGAATCATGTTTGGAAAAATTAAAATATAACAAATGTTTTATAATTCACCCCCAGGAGGTTCTGATGCACTAACTCTGGGCAGAGACTTGAACAATTCTTCACAGATGTTTCCCAAGCCCAGGAAGTAGTGTGGACTTCTGCACTTCACCTTGACTTATACTACCCCAAGGAGCTATTGCATCCATCACGAAGTAATCTGGTTACCATCACCCAAGTGCCCTCCCCAACCTTTCAAATGTTCTCAATAACCTAAAACTTCTACTGACCACAGACTGAGATGAATCTAAAAACGAAGTTTCTGACCTCTGTGGTGGTGTAAAATGATGCCTTAACCTGGCTTTCACAGAAAACAGAGCCTGGAGCAATAGCATATTTGCTTCTATTTGATTAGAGAGTGAAAACCCAGGTAAGCAGAGTAAGGTAAAAGGGGAGGGAGAAAGGAAAAAGAGTGAATCACTGAGGTGGCCCTGCTGGGCCTCAAAGGTAAGGTGCCAGTTTGCTCTGCATTGTAGATGTTTTTCTAAAAGGATGCAGGGTAGGCTGTGTATCGCAATACTTAGTGAAAGGCAGCAGGGACATCTATCTGCTGGCTTTAGCTTCCCATTGATCAAAGGTTTACTCCATGGGACATTAGCTTCCCCACATTTTGGGGTTGTTCTTTTATGAGCTCTCAGTGGTCCTGCAGCATGGCACACATCCCCAGTAGCAAGAAAGACAGCTGTGGGGGAAAAGGAAGAAGATGCACACAGAACTGTCCATGAAGTAGTATTTGTGTGGACAAAACCTTTGCAAATAAACTAAGATAATCTGAAGTGGCACATGAAGGTATCTGACTCATGTAACAAGATTTTTCTCCCAATTTAATGAAGGCGTTATTTCTAATAAACAGCACATTTGTTACATAGAAAAGATGGTACAAGAAGAATGAGCAGTAAAGCATTGAACAAAAACTTCCGAAAGTCAAAATGTACCTTTCTTTACCATCCCAGGTTTTTCAATGGGATATATTAGAGCCATGTTTCATCTTAACAAATGTGGGACAGGTACACATAGCAGTGTTTGGTAGGTAAATGAGGAACTTTCCAACTCTGGTGTAATTTAACATCA